AACACAACTCCCCTGAAGTTTTTCAGACATATTTCGACGAAACTACTGAAAAGTTTCCTATGACTAATAAAGCAATATATATAATGGGTGACTTCAATATAGACCTGCTTAAATATAAAACATCCCACTTCAGTCACAACTTTTTATTACACCCACAGAGTTGCTATCTCATTCCAACAGTTGATAAGCCTACACGAGTTCATAGAGCCTCAGCCACCCTTATTGATAACATTTTAGTTAATAACCCAGACAAAATTCTTGCTAGCGGTAATATTGTTACGGATGTTAGCGACCATTTTTCACAGATTTGTGTCACAAAATCAGCGATAGATAAATTCAAAGGTAAACTGTTATTAATAAACTCCTCGACAACTCAAAATTCTCTGCTGTTCGCTTCAATGATGATCTTTCCAATGCTCACTGGGATAACATTCTTAGTAGCGGTAAAAATAATGTGTACGCGTTGTTTTCTTCCTTTTATAAGAATGTGTAATCAAATTGTGACGAGTGAAATTAGGGAATTTCACGCGCGTTTTGTCCAAATTTTAATAATTTCCCGAGCCTTTGGGCGAAATTATTAGGATTTGGACAAAACGCAAGTGAAATTATTCCCTAATTTCACGAGTATACCATTTGATTACCTATTAATATCATGGGTGACGAATTACGTTAGCAATCTTGGGTTTTTGACATGTTTATCCTGGATTGTATCGATCGAGAACTCCGGTCTCTCAAATGTTTAGACCTTAAATTTGGCTTATAAAGTTCAGAATTTTTCAGAATTTTTCGGCAAAATACCTGTTACAATCCTTCTTGATGTTCTCTTGTGTGTTTAGGTTTTCTAAAACGTCTTTTTGTTTCCTGACATCTTCTTTCACGGCATTTTAAAACTTGGTCGCCACGTTCGGAGGGGTTGCCATGGCAATTTTGTAATTTCACATGTGAAATTACAAATTAACGCTGAAATTTCGCGCCAAAATTAAGGAGTAATTCGTCACCTATGATATTACAAGTTCAACACTATTTTCAATAAACATACTCCCATGAAAAAATTATCTAGTCGCAAAAGAAAAGTGCTTTCCAAGCCTTTGATTACCACTGGATTAAAGGTATCTGTAAGGATGAAAAACAAACTCTACGCATCAGGCGATGAAGTAAGGTAAGTAATATTATAGAAATAAAACTTCAAGTCTATTACGTATCAGCAAAAGAATTACTACAGTGATTATTTTGAAGGACAACATGTCAAATATTAAAAAAACGTGGACAGGTATTAATGAATTATTGTTTCGCCGTAAGGAAAATCTCAAGACTATTACTGCAATTAAGGGCCCAGGCAAACAAGAATAAACTAGTCATGGATTCTCCGCATATTCCTAACATTGTCAATGAACATTTTGCGCTTGTTGGGAGTAAACTCGCAAGTAAAATTCCTTCTTTTCAACAACATTAATTTATCTCGACTATGTTAACAAAAACATGTTTCCGATGCCATCTTTCTTTTTTCAACCATTAACATATGATTGTGTAAAGACTGAAATATTATCTCTGCCTAAAAACAAATCGCACGGTTTATGCTCCTCCCCGACAAAGTTTTCTTTTTGTTTTTTTTTTCTTTTTCTTTATTTATTTTAACAACAACGACAAATTAAATACAAGTAAGAAGTGACAAAAGTAAAAAAAAAAAGAAAACACACCCAGAAACAAATAAAGCAGAAATTGAGAGGAGAGCAGCGGGCTAGAAGCAAATAGCGAAGTTAATACATCTGGTCCGTTTTTTCCTTTTTCTCTCCTGTTCTTTCGTTTCCTTTTTTCTTTCTTTCTTTTTTTTTCCTCGGGTAAAAGGGCACAGTCAAAACAAAACAAAAAGAGATGTAGAGAAGATATTTATACTTAATTAAGTTCTGGAGACTCAGGTCAAAAGGCTTATATAAGGCAACAAGGGTTCCCATTTATTTGTGACATTAGAGGCATTGTTTTCTGTTTGATAAATGTGTTTTAAATAAAGCAAAAAGTTATTTAGATTGGGGGGGATTTTTTTTGAGTTTGTGTTTAGATCTATCTGGCCTCAGACCCAAAGCCGTATTTATGTGTAAGTAATTATGTTCACCAAAGAAAGTTGGCAAGACTGCATCCACTTAAAAAGACTATCCCAAAACTTTTTTGTTTTTTCGAATCTCCAAAATAAGTGCATCAAGTTTTCCGTTTCCTTATTACAAAACGTGCACTTATCATCGTCTCTAAGTCCGACTTTTTTTAAGAAACAGTTAGTTGGTAACCGGCGATGTAACAATTTGAAGTTGAAAGCTAGTGATAAGTTTACTGCTCTTTGTGCATTTAAAGGATGTTTGATAGGCGACTTTCCAATTAATAATTTCCTTTGGCGGAAGATTGATGTCTTTATAAAAAACAGGCTTATTCTGAATTCTTAACAGAGGGTTTTGCCACAAAGGTGACGACAAAAGATGTTCTTCCGATACTATCGTTTCCTAAAAAAAACCTTCTGACCAAATTACAAATATTTCTTTCACAAAGGGGTCTGATATCTTTAAGTTGTTAACATCTTTTTTGTTGAGATTTCCTTTTAATATCGCTTAGCCTCCGTTTCTTTCAAGTTCGGAATCAAAGAGTCGCTTCCACTTACTGCGACTTTTAGAGTCCAGATATTTCTGGATCCATGTGGCCTTTAAGGGATTTGTTAAATGTCGATAATTTTTAGTCCTCCTTCTGAATAGTTATTAATCATTATCTTTCGTTTGATTTTGTCTCCTTTATCATTCCATAGAAACTTATAGAAAATCGTGTTGATTTCTTTGATCGCTCCGTGGTTAGTTTGCAGAGGTAAGAATAAAGCTGTTTCGAGAAAGGTTGTCGGAAAAAGTGCACGCGACAATCCCGAAAAGTATTGTGGGTGGTTTTGTCCGCCCTGTTCTCCAAAGAAATTTGAAAGAATGGCACAAAAGGCCACGGACATATGTTCGCGAGTGCTAATGGAAAGCAACAAAAGTAGGTTCGACAGCTAAAGTCGTTAGGAAGAGTTTATTGATCATATCCCATATTACCTTTCGGGGTTGTCGCGTGCACAAATTTTTTCCGACAACCTTTCTCGAAATAGCTGTATGTAGACTAACTGAGATGCAACCAGGCTCTTCAAAACTGCTATTTTCCCTAATAATGTAAGTCTGCGAAATTTCCGCCATTCTAGGATCGATCAAATTTTTTCAATTTTTTCATTGTAATTGAAGGATATTATTATATCGGGGTCCGTTGAGAGCCAAACCACAAGAGCTTTGACTATTTTCTTTGGCCATTTGAAGTCTTTTTCTAGAAGAACTTTAAGGTCACAATCTTTTTTTGATCCTATCCACAGAGCTTCCCTCTTTTTAATATTGAGTCTGAGGCCAGATATGTTACAAAAAATTTCTATTAAAATTACAGATTCTAAAAAGGATTCTTCGGAGCCGTTCAGGATTAGCGTCGTGTCTCTTGTTTTTTTTTTTCCGAATGGCGTCAGCAAGTATTTCTAAACTTAGAATAAATAGATGTGGCGATAGAGGACACCCTTGCCTAACTCCTCGACTAAGTTTAAAAAAAATTACTTGCCCATCCATTATTTAGGATACAGCTTTCAATATTGCAGTAAAAAAGTTCAATCCAATTTAACAGTGAGGGCTTGAAACCGAAGTGCTGGAGAGTTTTACTGATAAAAGACCACTCTAGTGTATCAAAAGCTTTCTCAAAATCAATAAAAAGAAGAAGGCCCGAAATGTTTCTTCTTTCTGTATATTTGATGACACTGTCCAACAAACGAATATTCTCACTGATACACCTACCTTTAAGAAAGCCTATTTGATCATCTGAAATGAGCTTTGGAAGAAAAGTTTTAATACGACTTGCAATGGCTTTAGACGCAATCTCGTAATCACAATTCAACAGCGTTAATGGTCGCCAATTCTTAATGAGAATGAGCTCGGCATCTTTCTTTGGTATAAGCTTGACAATGCCACGTTTTTGGGATATTGAAAGTTGTCCTGTCTCGAAAGAAAAATTTAGCGCATTTAGTAGTATTTTGGCTAGATCATTCCAGAAGACCTTGTAGAATTCGCAACGGAGACCATCTGATCCTGGGGTTTTTTCAGAGGCCATGCTTTTTAATGCTTCTAGACATTCCTTTTTTGCTTAGAGGTCCTCGCAAGGGACAAATATATGTTCTTCTTGGCTCAATAGTTTCTGTTCTTCTAGGAGGGGGGGAGAAAGCATCTGTATTCTTATTGGTATCTACTTTAGAGGTATAAAGATTCTTATAAAAATTGTCACTCGGGATCGGAGTATGTTTTAGAAATTTGAAAGGTGACGTTATTATTAAAAAGTATGGCAACACCTGCCTTTTTACTGGTGCAGCAGCTGAACAAAGCTTGATAGCCCCATTCGGCACGCCAATCATTCTTATTGTTTTCTGTACAATGCATTTCTTGAATAAAATATACTGAATATTTTTTTTGCTCGAAGCCAGTTAAAGATTTCTCGCCGCTTGACCTGGTCTCCCAAACCTCTAACATTAATTGATCCTATTTTAAGGTCCATTTTTAGACGTTTATGTCAGATAGCATCGACTGTCTTTACCCAAGGAGTATTCTCGCAATAAAAAACAAATATGAGAAATAAAAAAAGATAAACAAGAGGTTAAATAAAATAACAGTAAGGATACGTAAAAACACAGCAAACCAAACATTGTCAGGCAAAATGTAAACAGAGACACGCACATTTAAATAAATAAAAGGTTAAATTGACTGGGGATGAAAGACGCGTTTTCTTAGGCTCTCTCCTAAGTTTGAAAGAGAAAAAAAAAATAAAGAGCTAATAAGAAAAAAGAAACCGTCCGCAATAGCATAAGTTATACAGTGTTTTTCACCAATCACCTAGTGACAGATAGCCCGACAGTATTCGATTTTTGAAGCAAATGAGAAAAGTTATAAAAAGTTACGGAGGAAGTTCTTTGCCTACAGGCCATAAGCGCCCTCTAATATACAACTTATCTGATTGTGCTTGGCTGAAAGCCGCTGGGATTCCTCTTCGTTTAGCAGTTTTAAAAGTTTCCATCTGTACCCTGCGGCGTTTACAATTTCAGTCGGTAGGTCTCGGAACATTTGAAACTTTGATTCTTTCAAGCGGTGTCCCAGTGAAAAAATTTTTTTCACATCTTTATACCTCAGGAAACGTGCAAGAATCGGACGAGAATTCTCATCTTTGGTTTTTCCTGTGCGGTGGACACGTTGAAATTCTACATTCTGAGCATCTACGTATCCCCGTTCGCGTTCTAAAAAGCCTCTTAAGAGCGGATGTCAGTAAATATCGACCAGAGGTCTGCAAAAGCCAAAAATCGAAAATTCTCAAAAAAATTCACAAAGTAGCACTAGGTAAGCTGTTAACATAAATATAATTTTTACTTCGATCCGATAATTATTTTAGACGTACGGGGCAAGAGACTATAAAGGGGACAGAGAGGGCATCCCCAATATACACCCTATTCCATAGGTAATTCGTCTAGAGTTATTTTTAGAATCGGGATAAAGTTACCTCGCGCGAGGCGTGGATGTTTCGTGCAGGTTTCGCATGACCAAACGCCGTGCAAAACATGTCGGGCGAGAGGCAATGAAAGCGTAAAAAGATCGAGAGCATTCCTGAATATTGCAGCGAAATGAGTCGGCGCTCACCTGGGAAAAAGGAATCGCTGGACTCTTTGACAACCCGTGAAATCAGTTTAACTCGAAGTTGTCGTAACCTCAGTGCTTTAATAAAATGAGAAATTTCGCCGGTCTATTGAAACCGGTCGTTTGTACAATTTAGGGAGTTTAAGATCCAACGACGCGGACGACAACTAGAACGTCAAAAAAACAATAGGTTTAATTAGCAAAACAACAACTTCGCACGTGCAACATATTTTTTTGTTCATTTCTTTCCCGTTTTTGCACGACTACGACGTGAAAATGCCTAATTTCGCGTTTTATGGAGGACGTAAATAAGCAACGACGAAATTTTATTTCTCTTTCTGAGCTTGAATATGGTCCCTTGAAATTCAGCTTTAGGAGGGTTCGCCTACAATTGACAAAGTAAGTGGGTAGGAATAATCGCTATAAAGACTGAAAAAAATAAACATCAAACCAGAAATTGCTCTCTTCAAACTGTAAATTATAAATGATCCTGAAAGAATATTCAGTGTGTTAAGGATTTCCCTGCTCTACTGTTAGCTCTATACAAGAGAGGAAGGGCGATTCTTTTTTAATTTCGGTTTCGCTGACACAGCTTTCGCAGAAATCTCGCTGTAGTCGTTTTCGTCGACAAAAGGAATGGCAAAATCGCTCTCCGCGTCTTCCCCCATTTTGTTCTGCGTATTTTCGTGAAGGACGCATGGCTCTCAGCGTGGGTCATCCACGCGGAACACATTCGCGCTATGTGATTGGCTGTTGTCTAATCCCCCTTGAGATCTGTGGTGTTAAAAATAACTCGAGACGAATTACCTATGGAATAGGGTGTATATGGGGGATGCCCTCTCTGTCCCCTTTATAGTCTCTTGGTACGGAGGGGTTATCGGTTTCGCGGCTCTCGGACCGGGTTTTACAGGCCCGAGACGGTGTGTCACGAAAAAATCGTTTTAAAAATCAAAGCAATTGTAATGCGAACAGCAAATAACTTATTCAGAAAAGTACATAATTATACTCATTTTAAGGGGTGATTTACTCAGTTTCAACGAAAATATAGTATTTTGGAGATTTTTCATTATTTTCAATATTTTGAACGTTTCCGTTCGATGAAAAATTTCAAAAGCCAAAATCTTCGACTGGTACCTCGATTTCAGTAAAGAGTCTTATACCACGTTAAAGAGCGTTATCCCTTCTTTTAAAATCAGTTTTCAAAACTATGGGCAACTTAAAAGAAAATTTTTGAGGCCAAAAATTACAAGTAGTACTTTTCTGAAATTTGAGCTTTCCTCGCTCAGCGGGGCGATGCTAAAAACTCGGAAAAATACTGTAAGAAATCAGTTTGAGCAACAGTGGTTTGATGTTATCAGTTTTCATAAACCAAGACGTGTTTATCCAGCGATCTGATATAATTTAAAACCGTTTGTTAACATAGGAAAGGCAGATTTAAGCTGTCAACTCCTGCCAAGTGCACTAGTCACGTAAGGTTGTCAAAGGGCAAAGCACCATAATAAACCAGATAAACTCTAAAAATCACAACGTTTTTGCGTCCAGGAATTGGATTTTACCAAACAGAACAATGCTTATGAGTGTATGTTTCATACCTTAGCATAGGTTTCCTAGATATTGGAATTAAAAAACATCACGGGCAGCATCGGCAACAGAATCTTTGACTGCTCTCAAAGGTCGACGGAGATCGAGTTGACGATTGCGTTACTTCTCACGGTTTGACCGCTTACCACCTGTTCTTGGGCTCGTATTTCGAGGCAACACTTACTGGCAAAGCGCGCGGCACTGATACTTTATGATCAAGTTCTGAACTCTTCTTCACGAGACATTTTCCTGAATTTATAGGAAATATGCCAACACCAACAACAACTCGAGCATTTGTCGGCTATTTGTCGTTTTTTCGAGGAAAAGTTCGGGTAAGCAAATTGACGCAAAAACCATTTGGCTCAAAAAATGTTTTAAAGCCCACCCTGGATATGAAGCAACAAGTATTTCCTCGAAATAAGCTAAAAAATAAATAAAAAATTCACACAGTGAATAAATGGGTGAAATGGGTGAAACAGCTAGGATTAATAGTTATCGAATCCTTGGTTAACCTGAGGGATTTGACGATGTGAGGGATGGACCCGAAGAGGGACACCTACCACGTTTCAAAGTGTCACTGGTTTAGACAAGCCTGTACGTATCTAAAGTGGGACGTTAACCTCCTGTACAAATAACACGTTTCATTTGAAGTGAGACGTGACTTAGCTATGACTCGTCCTTTCTGAAAAAATCTTGCTAAGTCCTGCAAAAAATTCGGATTTTTGTAGCTAAGCCGGAGCGTTCTCTGTCACGGTTCTTCGGCCTTTTTTCGATATATTTTATCGTCAATGAGGGCCTGCTCATAGCCAACTGTCTGTCAATCTCTTTCTGATTTTCACAATTTTTTTTTTTCACTGTGTAGTTCAAAAATAACATTGTGTTTTCTTTTATTGCAGCAAATAAGAGTTTTCGTAGGAAGAAATAAGACTCTCATCAAACGTTTAACTTAATGCTGCCTCTGTAATAAATCTCAGCATGCCGGTGTTGTTGTTTACTGACAATTTCACTCAAAAATGAATCCTTTACCAGCCGGAATATATGACGCAAACTATGTATGTATAGCAGCTTCTAACCATGGGCGTAGCGTGAGGTTTTGAAGATGTACACATGCACGGACAAAGGTTGGACCTCCGAATTGCGAAGGTACTGCAAATTTGGGGGATCTTCAGCTCAGAAATGCTATATCCTGTGTTTTCCACAGGATATTTTCAGTTAATAAATAAATACAAAGGAAAATGCAAATATTAGATGTTTAATTTTTTTCTCTTAAAACGTGTTGTCGGTAAGGTGCAATGTTTACGGGAAAAAAATAAAAGAGCGACGCCATCAAGGAGCTTTCAAGCAAAGGGTGAGACATGTCTAGACGGGTAAAGGCACTAATATAATGCGAAAGATTTATGAATCATCCCGATTTTATGATAATAATGCTTTCTGGGAATAAAAGATATACATTTTCCAGATTTCAGCTGTACGCACGGGCGTATGTGCGTATAAAGGACGCTACACCCCTGCTAACTTAAGACCTGCTCTTATAAATGGGACATTAAGCGTCTTATTCAAGAAGCGTTGTTAATCTGTTTTGTGTGCGATTTCAGAGTAATTTTTGTTTGTTTGTTCGTTTGTTTGTTTTTACACCGTTTCATAAAAAGTTTTTAAGGTTCATTTCTGGCGACGTTTCTCGAAACTCGTTATCAGCACTGTCAGCACTGGCCATACCGGGGAGTTGATAGTGTGTCTTTCCTTGCTGAAGAGGCTGAAAACTGAAAGTTTCTGTAAATAACTAAATACACCTTCCCTGCCCTGCATACCTTAAAGCACCGACAATTCCAGCCCTTCGGGCCCGGTGGTGGGGAGTTGTTTGAAGTGGTCATGTCCCGGACTTTCGGTGGTGGGTGGCAAGGCAAATCGAAAATAACTTCTCTTTAAGTTTGTTTTTGTGAAGTACATCATTTCTCGCGCGGTTGACAAGATGGCGGCGGACTCCGTAGCTATGGAAAGATCCTTGTGAAACATGTCCCGGCAACTTACAGGGCATCACGTAATTGAAGTCAACACCTTAATTGACTCAACTCCATGAACAGGGAGAGGCGATAATTTCCATCATACCGTAAGTAAGGCATGATGTCTAGACGTGAATAGTCTGTCCACAGACGTTTATCCTTTAGTTTTTGACAACGCGCGAGTGAATCGGAGTGCAGAAATGAGCCCTAACCCCACCCCATTGCCCAAACGTTCACTAAATCCCCGCACTTTTTATTTTTGTACAAGAACAGAACAGGTAAGTTCTTACCTTTTTAATTTCCATGTGCAGTTTACTAATAAGAACGTGGGTTCCCTTTGGTGGAGCTTAAAAACAACGAGACATAGCTGTGTAGCAGGCGGTTCGAAGCAGGGCGTGATAAAAACGGGCGCACGAGGAGATATGCGAGGCTCTCTAAAAAAGACAATCACCAAATCGAAACAAACTCAATATGGCAGAAAATAAAGTGGTCGATTTCATCGAAAAAGCGATACACCACCGAACCTCTTATACCTGGAAATGTGGTCATAATGCTTATCTTTCAATTAAAAGAATTAGGACAAAAAAGTTAAACCTTGTCGTTTCTTTTTCCTTTCCTTCCCCTCCCCCCCTTTTTTTTGGTGATAATGCCAAAAAATTGTTTCGGTCGAACGACGCTAAACGAAGAAAAAAAGGGGGATGCCCTTTTAATATAGTTATTTGGCTCCCTCAGAGTAAAAAAGCATAAGTTTACAAGGCCAGGATCTAGCGTATAGTGAGTAATCAAATGACATTGACAAAAAACCAACGAAAGGCTGACTCTATAAGGCGCTGCCTGACAACGAAATGGTGAACAAAGAAGGTCTGCCTCTCATTTAATGGAGACGTGAAATACTAGGTGGACCACACCCTGAACTCCCGCGAAAACCGCAAGAGAGGAGCGCTCAAGGCTAAGGAGACTAAAGCTGGAAAAAACAACAGGAGTCTTGAGAAATGTCCTTATCCTATTCTGTCTGGGTTCGTACTTTCAAGAAAGCGCTGATCAAGAATCATACCTAAGGAATGAAAACTTCTCGCAGCTTCCAGTGAAAGCATGCATAGAGTGACAACAGTGGTAAGCGGTTGTTCTGTGAAATGTAACGCAATCTTTGCCGTTTGGATTTTTGCTGTTGTTGATCTGTTCTCCCGTGTGGATACTTTACATTTCCAATATCTGGGAACACCATGTTAAAGTACGAACAACAAACACTCACAACATTGTTTTGTACGCTAAAATCTGACTTCCTGGACGTAAAAAGTTTTGAATTTTCAGACCTTTTTAATTAGTGCTTTACGCTTTGACAACGTGCACTTGGCAGGAGTTGACAGCTTAAATCTGTCTTTCCCATGTTAGCAAACGGTTTTAAATTATATCAGATCGCTGGATAAACACGCCTTGGTTTGTGAAAACTGATAACATCAAACCACTGTTGCTCAAACTGATTTCTTATAGTATTTTTAGGAGTTTTTAGCATCGCCCCGCTGAGCGAGGAAAGCTCAAATTTCAGAAAAGTACTACTTGTAATTTTTGGCCTCAAAAATTTTCTTTTAAGTTGCCCATAGTTTTGAAAAAAGATTTTGAAAGAAGAGATAACGTTCTTTAACGTGGTATAAGACTCTTTACTGAAATCGAGGTACCAGTCGATGATTTTGGGCTTTGAAATTTGCCATTTTTTCATCGAAAGGAAACGTTCAAAATATTGAAAATAATGAAAAATCTCCAAAATATTACATTTTCGTTGAAGCTGAGTAAATCACCCCTTAAAATGTGTATAATTATGTACTTTTCTGAATAAGTTATTTGCTGTTTGCATTACAATTGATTTGATTTTTAAAACGATTTTTTCGTGACACACCGTCTCGGGCCTGTAAAACCCTGTACGAGAGCCGCGAAATCAACCCCCCCCGTACGTCTAAAATAATTATCGGATCGAAGTAAAAATTATATTTATGTTAACAGCTTACCTAGTGCTACTTTGTGAATTTTTTTGAGAATTTTCGATTTTTGGCTTTTGCAGACCTCTGGTCGATATTTTCTGACATCCGCTCTTAAAATCTCCTCGGTGTCTTCGGGTTGGTCTTGAGGTCCTTCTTCGATGTTCATAAACTTGATGTTTTCGCGTCGAGAATAGGCCTCAAGATATAAGCTTTTTGACTCGGTCTCCTTAACTGCTTCTTCATGTTTTTGCACCTTCCTTGTGAGCTCTGCAATTTCTGCTTGTGCCTTTGCTGACTCTTGAGCCTTCTCCTGTAATTGTTTTCCAGCAAAGTTGGCGCCATCTTTCAACTCGCTTATGCCCTTCTTGGCTTCTTCTTTGAAAGCTTCCAACTCTGTCGTTTGTATTTCTAGCTTTGCCAGTTTGGATTCAATTTTCTTCAAAGACAGTTCTATCGTGTCAAGCTTTTCTAGCTTTTCCAAAATCTTTTGTTCTTTCGCAGCTACCTCCTCCGACTTATTAAGAGCTGTCATTACTTCATCTTCTTCTTGTTCGGGTCCTTCAGTGAACGGTGAATCGTACTTCTTAGGTTTTTTCGCCTCAGGCGATGTGGTTGAGTCGTCTGAGGAGTCCGATGATCTAAATGTTCTTTTGTTGAGTAGATTATTGATAAATTCGGCCATTAGCCACCATGCAAAGTAAAGAGATTGCGGACAGTCACATTGAAGGTCTTTACTCTGCCATTACTCGACCCAGTCTCTCCAAAGTTACTAAAATGCTCAATGGACATCATAGCCCCTGTTCTTTCGGAAGCATATGATATTTCTATCAGCCTAGGGAGATATCTTACAAATTGAAATTGTCCAAAATTTTGCCTGTTTTTAAATCCGATGATGAGACGGACCCAAATAATTACCTTAAATCCTCTATTAAGCCCCCCCGGAGGGCTTATTTTTTCCAAGCACTTTTGAGGGGAGGCTTATTTAATTTAGCGAGACGCATCACCTGTAGCAAAAATACCGTGGTATGAGACAGAGTAGACTTACGCATTTTACAATTAAAGTCACTGTCAAAAGTGTTTAATTCACTTGTGGGAGCCTAAAAGTAAAAAAAACAAAATTCTTATTCTTCAAAAATGTGCTTTTGGCCTCATGTTCTTCGATCATTTTTATGAATAAATCATAACTGATCAGTCCAAGTTAATCGTTAATTTTTTTGTGAAGAATAAGGATTGGAGGAGGGGGAGGAGGGGGCTTAATAGAGAGGGGGGGCTTATTAACTTTCCTCCTCTGAAAAGGAGGAGCTTATTAGAGAGGGGGGGGGTTAATAGAGGATTTACGTTATAGACCTATATCTTTATTATCAAACTTCAACGGAATATTTGAAAGACTCATGTATACCAGAATGATGAATAACATTGAGAAACACAATTTAATTTACTCTTCCCAGTACGGCTTTCGCAAAGGACATTCTACTCAACATGCTATATTAGACATTGTTAATGCAATCCAGACCAATATGAATCAAGGTCTATACTCTTGTGGTGTGTTTATTGACCTCAAAAAAGCTTTTGATACCGTTGACCATAATATTGTTCTAGATAAGCTCCACTTCTACCGCTTTCGTGGATTAATCAACCAATGGTTTTCCTCATATCTTAATGACTGCACCCAAACTACTCAAATTGCTGACCACATATCAAATAAAGCCTCGATCAGCTTTGGAATTCCTCAAGGTTCCGTTTTAGGTCCTCTTCTCTTTTTGCTATATGTAAATGATATCCATCAGTGCTTTACTAAACTTAAATTCTATCTTTTTGCTGATGATACCAATATACTTTTTGCTGAAAAAAAATTTGAAAGTTATTGAAACAGTAGTCAATACCGAATTGTGCAAATTGTACGACTGGTTAACATCTAATAAGCTAACTCTTAACATTAGTAAATCCAACTTTGTAATATTTCATCGTAAACAAAAAAAGCCTAATTATAAACCTAAAATATGTTTATTTGACAACGAGAAAAATGAGTATGCTACTCTTGAATCCAAGGAATATATTAAATACCTTGGCATTTTGACTGATAAAAACGTTACCTGGAAACATCATATTGACGCTGTCTCTTGAAAAATCAGCAAAACGGTTGGATTACTTGCGAAATTGCGTCATATTGTACCCCGGTAAATTCTTCTAAAAATTTATCAGTCACTTATTTATCCGTATATTACATATGGACTTGCTGCTTGGGGCCAAGCAGCAAAGACGCATCTCAATAAAAATTCTATTGTTACGAAAAAGAGCTCTTCGGATAGTAATTAAAACTTCTCGGATAGACGCGATCACGCAATACCTCTCTTCATTGACGCCAACGTTTTGCCCTTAAACTTCTTATATTATCAGACTATATCAAATTTTATGCATAATGTCCATAACAATATGGTGCCTTCTGGCATTCTAAATATATTTCAAAAAACAAGTAGGTGCCACTACTGCCCTAAGAATAAGTTCAAAAAACACTCCGCAAATTATTTTTTAATATTCTGAATTCAGGAGATGACTATATTGATATGTCCACCTTAATTAAAAAGGTAAAATTAGCCAAAAATGTCCAAAAATAAATTCTTGCTTATTAGTTTCTACTTTTACAATATATTTTTTTCATTCTCTTTCCTTTAGTCTGTTATCTAGTCCTAATCCATATTACGATTTTTATTTCATTTATTTGTAAACTGTAAACTTTCCTTAGTTAATAGCCTTAGTCATTATTTATCATATTTTGCACGCATTGTCTTGCCTCGAATAGCCTTGCTAGACGCGGGCAATAGATGGTTTTCACAGTGACGTCATCAAATTGTAAAGTCAAAATAGCGAGGTTTTACGAATTCTTGTTTACACTAGGTTGAAGATAAACAAAAAGTTAATCTTTGTACAAGTTTTCAGTCCCATAGCATGTTTCATTTCGAAAATACAGCAATTTGAACTTCCGATTTTTCACAACGCGTGACACCAAAATAGGACTGCTGTCTCGTTGAAAAAAAGTCTCTCCTCTTGATTTTCAGCAGTATAACCATTTCAAGTATTAGAAGATATGTTTATGCGCACGTGGGCTAGTTCTCGAGTGAAAAGAAGGAGTTTTTATAGAACAAGTGAACTCCAGATGTTTTTGTTGATTTTCGGCGGCCATATTGGTGCACCAAAACTGTGCACCAATATGGCGTCTCCATACAAAGCTCTACTAAGATGCGTGAAACGTTTCGGCAAATAACTCAGAATCTGTGGGCCAAAAAGACCTGAGACTCGGATAAATTGTTTAAATATTAGTCTTTTATAACATATCATTAGAACTCTGGAAAGTTGTCATGCGTTTTGAAAATCACTATTGAGTCACCCTCTTTTAGATGCGCTGGCAAGTTATTAAAAGCCTAAGCACAAGTATAAGTGCCTTTCTTGGCAGATTCTGTACGTACTTTAGGAATTACAGTCATGCCAGGTCAAGCGTGAAAACTGAATCCGTTAGAGAGCATGGGAAAAAAAACTCCTGCATTGAACTTCCACTCTAAACAAAAAATATTCGTGTATGCGTTTTGACAAAAGAAGCATCTTGCAAGGGAAATGTTAACGGAAATAAATCATGCAAGTCGAAAATTCCCCCTATCCCAGTTTCCTTTCATAACTTTTCCAATCGTCTGCCTCTGATTTTCGGTTTTTTTTCTCTTAGCTCTTGTCGCGGGGGGCAGAGCTTTGCGATTGCTGCTTACCTTTAAGTTCGCGCAGTCGCAGACATAACTAAAAAGTAAACGTCCTTTCTGCATTAATATTATAAGCTGCTAATGCAAGTCAAATTCTACTTTCAGACTGTTCGGAGTTATAAAAAAAAGATTTTTCTTTCATTGAAAGAACACTTTACTATAGCTACGAGACCGCAAATCGCATTTTTATTAGAGGTCCTCGTAGTACTGATGTGTACTTTCAAGAGAACATAGGCACGTTCAACGTGCATGAGCTATTTTGAATGCTTCAGTGTAACTATAATACTTCGGTGTAACCTTACCAAGAGTGATGAATCTACCTTTTTCATCCTAAATGTAGGTTTGGTTTTTGTGCGAAATTGGGTATTGCGCTACATAAATGAAAACATGAAACGCTCAGCTGAGTCGATCCTCAACCTATGTATTCACTTTCCTCTGTCTTTCCCAGTTACATCTGGTGCAAGTTAAACAAATTGCTAAAGTAAAATAAATTTCTACTCACCAAACGTTGATTAGAAGGAAAACTCTAAGGTTTCCTCGGAGTTTCTTAAGCCAAAATGTGACTCATCGAATACTGAATAATTACGAAATACCAGGATTTTTATCATTGAGGTAGATGGTTGCGTCATCATAGTTCACGAGGTTTTCACGTGCGATTCTACTCAGTGAAACAGTCTTTAACTCCGACAACTTATTTCTTCATGTTTTAAAAGCTATTGCTTCTTAAAAGGCAAGAGCCTTTTTTAAGGCATTGGTTACAAAACGAAACAGGTCTTCATACGTCCAAGTTACTATTTATCATTGTGAAAAGCCAATCTGCATGAGATGTACAGTCACACAGCTGGCACGTGAAAGTGTTGGACTTTGTCCCCTTTCGTGGTTCGTACGTGAGGGAATTCGAGTTATCACACAATAAACTAGTAAACAGAATTATAAAAATAACTCTTGCACACAATTTGCACGTGAAGATGTTGGTCTTTGGCCCTTTTACAATTCGTACGTTAAAAAAAAGGCAAATTGTTTACTACAAAATTTTCTCAAGCGATTTTAAGAAATCACCTCGGCTTCATTACAACATCTGCAATTAAATTATGTTTCATGCAACGTCAAGGTTGATAACCTAACATTTATTAACATTTGTGAGACAGTCTTTAACTCCGACAACTTATTTCTTCATGTTTTAAAAGCTATTGCTTCTTAAAAGACAAGAGCCTTTTTTAGGGCATTGGTTACTAAACGAAACAGGTCTTTATACGTTCAAGTCACTATTACTATTGTGAAAAGCCAATCTGCATGAGATGTACAGTCACACAGATGGCACGTGAAAGTGTTGGACTTTGCCCCCTTTCGCGGTTCGTACGTGAGGGAATTCGAGTTATCACACAGTAATCGAGTAAACAGAATTATAAAAATAACTCATGCACACGATTTGCATGTGAAGATGTTGGTCTTTGGCCCTTTTACAATTCGTACTTTAAAAAAACGCAAATTGTTTACTACAAAATTTTCTCAAGCGATTTTAAGAAATCACCTCGGCCTTATTACAACATCTCTACATCTGCAACTAAATTATGTTTCATGCAACGTCAAGGTTGATAGCCTAACATTTATTAACTTCCAAGAAAATTATCAAACTGCCGAAATATATTTCTGCTCATATCATGTTACTCCACTCAATAAAGCAGTACCTAATTATTGTGTCAACTAGCTTCTTCCAATTTTATTCCCTAACGCTACTGTTTCTACTTAAGTTTATACGCATCTTTACTAAATAAAATACGTTTCAATAACTATAATGCTTAGTATGCAGGAAGGATGTATCATGTTGTTCACTTATTATTCCTTTTTGTTGTTGTTTTGCCGGAACGAAAAAGGTCTGTTGAACTTTGTAAGCGAGAGAATAATATTTCTACAGCTTGTTTACAGGATTAACAATACTCGGTACAGCTTTTAAAAAAATAAGCTACTTTTCAAACTTCTAAAACCACATTTTATAGGCCGCATACTTTCGAATTAAAGTCCATATCTAAATATCAATTATTGGTTCACTGGAAGAGCTTTGAAAATATATGATCGTTTATACTCTACCTTGAAGCAGGTGAAACAGAACTCATAAATACGTGCGTGGTACCGTTCGCGATAGCCGAATTAGGTCAGAAATGTCTTGAAGTAGCATCCACACTAAAATATGAACCCTTAAACAGCTGCATCACTGTACACAGCGTTTGAATCATGAAGATATTTAATATAACCTGTAGTAATACACCTGTAGCCGTAATAAAAGACGAACAAATTGTAAAGAATCAAGATGGCGGTCTTAAAGTGCCCTTGTTCGACCTTTAGCAATGTGATTTTTAAGTAGATGCCAAGATCTCATTGGTTCCTTAGCATCAACTCATAGTACCTTCAACCTTATTGGCTCTTGCAACAAACATCCGAACATACAAAGTTACAAAGATACAAAGTTACAAAGTTACAAAGTTACAAAGATACAAAGCCACAAAGATACATACGCTCACACCACTGACATATGAGCTATTTTTTCAAAATAGCTCAAAAACAATTATCAAAATATAACTATTATTCTCTCTGGGTACTTTCAATTAAAAAATAAAACATTTTTACTTGGTAACTTCAAAGCTGAAAGAAAGCTTACCTTAATTTGTCTTAACACGTGCTGGCTATCAACGAAGAATACCTCATCAATCGTCGCCCTTTGGTCGTGTGAGTTAACGCTTTCTAGGTACTGTTTTGTGTACTTTTCCCTCACATAATCCAAGGATATTTGACTATGCTCCTTTTCATGCTTTTGTATGGCTTCATCCCACTTTGTGAAGACACCAAATGCATACTGGCAGTTCACCTCTTTTACTAATCTGGTGACCTTAAAATAAGTGGGGTGATTATAGTACATCAGTGACCCATAAGGGTTTATGAGTTTCTGAGTACACTCCATAGGTTTCTGATAGGTTATGCTTGATTCGTCCCCAGTCATCTTCGCATAACGCGCACGGCGGGAGCAGGGGGTGATGGAAAGGGAACAAACTTCCTACGGCGTTAAATCAAGGAAAAACGGCCTCGCACATCTTTTCGACACAGAGTGTCCCAGTCGTCTCTCTCGTTCGCTTTCCTCCTTCCCATTACACCCCGCGCGCCACTAGGGAAAGGTAGAGAGAAACGACTGGGGACGAGTCAGTAGTTATGCCACAAGCAACAGACCACCCTCCGTTCCTATGATGGCTGTTGTCGTTACTGTAACCTGAAATACAGACGATTATGACGGCGGTTACAAGTAGCAAAGTAAATGTTCCAACAAAAGTTCGAACGAAATGTTAAGTCTGTTAACTGTGTCATGTTTAGAGAGCTAATTTGACAGATAATTATTTGACCGGCAACTAAAGACAAAGAACACTGTAAAGGCCCTTGTAAAGGGGAAGAACAAAGTAGGCAGCAATTAACCTACGACCAAGCGGTCCTTCTTTCCTTTTTTGATGCTCGTCCGCCGACTTTCAAGCTCCCCGGGAAAAAGAAAAGAAAAAATGTCTCACTGCCTCAGCAACGCTTAAACGAGAGCATGAAGAGTTTTCTAGACGATTAAAAGGGAACAGTGAAAAAATAGGTTTAGAACGGTTCAGGTCTACTGGATCGGACAGATCGGATGCCGGTGTTTTCGAGATAAGAAATTCTATGGTTTGTCAGTTTCAGCTTGAAGTGAACTAGGCAAAGAGAGCAGGCGGCTGATTTTTGCCTACCCATTTATAGCGGTCTCGCCCGGGCGACTATATAAAAAACACATACACCATGCATCCATTGTCTTCATGATTGCAATTATCTTCAGTTCGAGAGAATTTGATAGGAACTATTTTATCTTCTGTCATTACAGTCAAGCCAGGTCAGGTGCACCCCCCAGCATCCATTAATGAAGTCATTATTCGAAAGTTCAATCCGCTGCTACTCATAGATGTCAGATTCATCTTTGCATTCTTGCAGGCGTAATGAGCCGTCAATATTCTCACGCGAGGTAGTTAAGTTATAACAAGAAATTTCTACCTATAGTAAGTTTTCTTGAATTGATAATATATAGATTTAGTATATACTAAAACAGTGGATAGTGTTTTTCGCGCGCTCGGCTACTCAATCAGTGAATATCCTGCACTTTTCATTGATTCACCTCCAGTTCCTCCGAGGGAGCGACGCCAAACTCGCGTAAGTTGCGAGCAAAATGCCTTCCCGGTTTGCTGCCGTAACAAACTAAGAAATTTCACAACGTATCAAGCAAGCTATTTCCGAAATACATGAAGGTGACGAAGTTCGGTTTGGAAGTTTTAACAGGTAAAGCTTTTTGTCTTTTTGACTTGAATTTATCGATAAAGCCGGTGAAAAAGTTTTTTGTTTACAAATGCAAATTAAGCTTAAGGTGGCTCCCTAGAGTATTTACTAATAACCCTAGCTATCTAGCATACGTTACAGAACGATATCTAGTTACTTTGTCTTTGCGATTTTGTTCACGAGATTCACCGCCAAGGTTACCCACATAAGAAGGCTCCTTTATCAAGTTTCATTTGCTGGATTAAGGCCGTTGCCATGGCAACATCGCATCCTTAGACAGGCAGTGATTTTGTCATTTTTGATCATTTTTTTCTTAATATTTCTTATTTCCCTCGGTGAAATGTCTTTAAACTTTGCCACTTTATATTAAAGTGGAAAAACCATGGGGTCGTTAAGACGGTTTTGCCAATATTTTGAAATTTGTAATTTTTCTTAATGGAGGAATTTAGCTCCTACAGATTTTAACAAAAATAGGACAGTACAAAGGTAGTGTAACTGTCACGAAATGAGGCGATTTTTAAAAAAAAAATTACCGAAGGAAACGCGAAAAATTCGCGGTTAATAAACTACGTTGACGTCACAAAAATCGGAAAAACACGCGTGGTTCGGGGTCGTATGAGCAAAATACGCGCGCGAGCCATCACACCCGCATGCGCATAATGCACAAAGCTACTGAAAACAGGTGGTTTCCTTGAAGAGTACGGAAGCCATTGTTTTGAAGCCATTTATTGGTATCATTACGGTGATATCTCGCCAGTTGAAAAAGGAGAGATAGCGGATTCAATTTTATACCAAACACAGGATGTTTTCTTCGAAGTACTTGACTATTGTAGCTAAAATTCGAAGCATGGTGGTTTAACAGGTTACTCGTGAAGATGGCGATCATCGGAGATGAAGACGGTGGTTGTGCAAGGATCGCCATAAGCCCTTCATTTCCTAATCTGCTGTACACTGTTTGCAGTTCTTCAAATGTTAGCCCACTTCCGGATACTTTTTCAACCTTGTTCTTCTTTAGGGATAATTTCGACGGCGAAGTTTTTCTTTAAAAGTCTGCTGTAAACGATGGCGCCGATCTATAAATCGTACATTATGTCCTCAGATACATGTACAAGACCGTAGGTCTCGACGGACAACTATTGCTTCGTCAAGGGTCAATCTGTGGTCAATCTGTGTCAATTCTCGTTGTGCAAAAACATTGCCCATTTACTTCGACTATTTGACGTTTGTCTACTTTTGAAGCGAAAGAATTGATGTCTTAATTGGAAAATTTCTGCTTTGTTTTTACATACAATTTACTCTTTTGGAGATCGGTAGCGACTTGTAACCGGTGTAACATTGTCTCCTCTCATAAATGTTTGACCTACACTAATCAAACTTTTTGCACAATGAGCTTCAATAGAAAGTTAATAAAGTTTTTTGCGGGGAATATTTCGAAACTGAGAGGCCATGTTCATGTTTGTTTTAATTTTTGCGTGGACGTCGCGCAGATTTTAAAGCTCGCGCCATACTAGTGCTCAGGCTGCGCACGGCCAATTTACTCTAGGGAGCCACCTTAAGTCTTGCGTTACTTTATTTAGTTGACTTGTTCATAAATGAGCTTAAAACTAAATTTAATAATCTTTTTTACAGAATTATTTTAAATACAAAAAGAATTCACAACTCCTTTTGAAGAAACTTCCCCGCAAGAGCTAAACAAATGCCTTCAAAAGTTCTATTTGTCGCTAAGAAAAAGCGACGAACGCGGCCGTTCGGTCATCGCGGGCCAAAATTGTAATCGTTGGCAACAGTAAATGAGTTAAAAAATCGTCATTTTTGTGCTCAATTATCTCATATACTAAAACAGTTATTCACCTCAGTGTCAACAGGGGTCTTTTTTGCATGAGCATGCGCGACCGCTGAACAAGCGATGTGTATGGAGGCTCACCACAGGGTTTGCCTTCATCAAAATGGCGCGTCTCAAAGCTATCATAGCGATTATTTTGCTCGCTGGTCTTGGCGAATGTGCTCGTGATTTAACAAAATGTGTAGTTTGCAAAAAACCTCTAACATGGTCTTAAAAAAAGCGAAGTAGACCGGCTTTAACATACACGAGCTACTATCAAATTTCATCTCCCCACTTGACCTGGACAACAGCGCGCGTATATGTAGTGCCTGGAGGATTGCGCTGACCTCATCAAAGTCGAAACAAAGTACAGAAACGTTTGTTGACGCAAGTAAACACTTTCAATTTTCTTTGTTTTGAAATGGGAAAGGAAGAGAAATATTTTAAAAAAAACATAGCAAATTTCAGCGAGTGGGTTCGAAGTGCGCGAAAGCCGATGGTCAGTTCAGCAGTGAATTAATATATGTTCTACAATTTTCCCAGCACTTTAAAGCTACAAATTTAAGAGCACACCAGACGTAGATTTGTCACCTGGTGAGATGTTGGTGGTAGTCACTCTGTATGTCTCGAACAAAAAAAAAATGAATATCAATTAGACACAATCAAAACTGCATTCAATAGGACCGAAATTAAAGTCCAATCTTGTGACCGATTTTGATGAAACAAACGGTTAGGTTTAACAAGAAGTACAGTAAACATGTGATGCCGACCAAGAGTTAAAAATCATTAGAACATTTAAGTTCTGGCCAAAACCAAATTCCTGTAAAAGATGCGTTACAATGTTAGTCCACGCAAAAACAAGAAGTTCTACAATTTTCCTATAAACAAACTTTGTATCGCTAAAATACTTAAGGCAAAAACTTTATATTCCAACTGAAAACGGCGTGGTAGTCGCCCGCTGATCGTTATTAATCCACTCCCGAAATATGGCTAAATCAGCTATTAACAAATTATTGACAGAAATCCTCTACGGCATCGAGAAACTAATTTACGTCCAATTTATAGACAAACAATAAATAAAGAACATTTTGCTCAATAGCTACGCATCAGCAATGCATTCTATGCCAAACTTTGCGGTTCTTAGAGAGGAATCAAGACACGAGTCGAGTGCCCAGCAACAACAAGCAACCATGTTCGTGTCAGACATCCTTGAGAAACTTGCTCTTTGACCTTGTTCAGCGCATCAGTCTCCACTTTAAATCAACAGATCTTTACTTATTTTGTACAACAAAGGTCTTTCCTAAGTTCAGGCTACCATTTCAATCTCAAGCAAGCTTTCAAAGTGAACAATTTGGTTCCTATGACTATGCAGTACGGTCGCTGTCACTGGTCGCGTGCTCTTTGACAAGTCAGCGGTCGCGCATGCTCATGCAAAAAAGACCCCTGTTCTTAGTGTCGGTGGCTAGACAACAATTATTCACCGAAGTGGAGGTGGGTAGTCGTGGAAATTTTCCGAACTGCGAAACAGTGAGGTAAATATCCATGACTAGCCACCGACACTGAGAAGAAAAGAGTACTTCGATCCTTTTTCTGTTGCTCAAGTAATAATAGTCAGAAGTTTTATTTTATTTTATTTTTTTTTCATTCTTAATTTGATAGTTTTGTTTTCCCGTTCTGTACCCAAATTTTCCTTTTCACTCGCTGTGAGGACAACGACAACTGCCGGTAGTGACTTCAAAACAATTGTTTCTTTGCCCGTAAACAATTGCTGGAGCTGGATTTGACTGAAGCGAGCGAAACAAACCCTTATCTGCAGTTTTCTGCATTTTCTAATGATTTGCTGAGTTTAATTTGCTTAAATTAAGACCCTCGCATGGTCCAGTTATTAAAAATAGCTAAATGGTGAATCATGCCTTGGCTGCGAAGCTTGCAACTGATCTTTTGCTTTTAAGATCTTTAGGTTGGTTGCTTTCGTACAGAAGATTCATTTCTTCATTGTCATCCAAGAGCCTCTAGCCTTATGTTTTATAATGACAATTTGTTGTTTAGCAACGTTATTGAACATGATTGAAGCTTTATAGTTCACTTAAGCTGAATTTTGTGCATGATGGAATTGCTCTTTGCTTGTCTCATCTCTTCGCGAGCTTAAATTGGTGTGTTTGGCATGGTCCTTAAAGTGACCTCAGTCAGTAATTAAATCAAATACAAAACTGGGAAGACGTTTTTGCAATAATATAACTAACTTTGTTTGAAGGAAATCTTACTTACGCGTAGCTAGGTTTTTGACAGATGTGATGCATGTTCAACTTGACAACACGACAAAGCAAAATTTATCTGCGTGAAATGATCAAGTTCTAAAAACTATAGTTGCTTTGAAACCGATTTTTGGGAAGATTTTACTAGATGAAGATTAACCTTTTTTCTGCCCACATATCAACGCAATAACTTCTACATTGAGGATTTTGTTTATATTTTAGTGATCTGCGAAGCTACGAGTGTCCGATCGAGCGTGGGTTTTAAAATAACAGCTTGAGTGCGGCAAAGTTCAGTGACTTCAAACACATTGTGGGCAAGTATTAAATTTTTTAGGCAAATCACAGTACAAAGATATGTTGTTTTTGTGTCACAGTGGAGCTCTGGACCTTAGATATCCAGGAACTTCTTTATGTGAATACATTTTGTGAATGCATCTTGAAAAAAATTGGACCTACGCATGCACATTTCCAGTACAACGCAAGGAAATTAATGTAATGAGAAGGTCATAACCACAGCTTGCAACTTTTGAAGACAAATTGCTTGTCCTTTCCAGGTTATGAGTGGAAGCATTTTATTTTTAGGCAAAAAAATATTTGAAATCCCGCCATTTTTTCAAACCCGGCCAGGGGATCTGGGCAAAAAAGTTCACGCATGCTCATTACGTTTTTCCGCCCTGAAGTTGAAATACGCATACACATTCCCCTATTAGAATATTCTTGCCTTTGCACACGGCACATTGGTAGCATTTACTTACGTGCGCTTTAGATGGAGACATTGAGTCCATAACAGCTACAATTATGTCTGCTTTTTGGCATGAATTCTTGACAATTTGGTCGCAATTCTCGCTCTCGCCATAACCAGGAGAATCAACCAAGACAACGTTCTCTGGAAGATGTCTACTAAACTTCTTCGGCCAACCCACGCGAACCACGCTTCCTTCGTTTATGTTCAAATGACTGCGTTCTTTTCGGACATCTTCTTTACTCATTGCAGACAAGAGATCTCTTATGCCTTCCTTGTCCTTTCTATCAGACAACGTTTTGCCATTAACTTTTACACTCCATTCTTCATTATCTATAGTATAAATTTCAATTAAGCACATTGTTGTTTCTGTAAAGCCAGCTGGAAGACGTTCTTCCCTTATCAAGGCGTTTATAAGTGTCGATTTTCCGCTGCTTGTAGCTCCTACAAATTCAATAACAACTCTATCAGAACTCTTTTCCTGTATCCTTTCCAGGTCTTCCTTAATTTCCTGAAGTTGTTCTTCAATGTGTTTTACTGATTGGCACTCATCTGGAGTTGCTAAATCTTGACGAAGGTGGTTAAGATACTTCTTACAGAGTTCGTGATTATTTTCTTTTAATTCCTGCAGTTTTGTTCTATCTTTTTTCGCCTTTCGGACAACATTTTTTAAAATTTTCCACGGTGTATCTGATGTTTCATCTGGTAAATCTGATGTTTCATTTGGTGAATCTGATGTTTCATTTGGTGTATCCGATGTTTCATGTGGTGAATGAAATGGACTTGCTACAACTTGGCCCACGAAACTTAACATTGTGCAAATAGCGAAGTTAAGTCGCGTCAGGCTTGACAAAATATAACGGTCAATAGCTGGAGCCTTTCCCCGGGGCTGAAATAAAATAGAGCAAATAACAACATCAAGTGACTCTTCCATTGTAAAGAATTAATTAAATTCATCTAAAATGAATTACAGTCGAGTCCCGATAACTCGAACCCTTGGTAGTTCTAATGTGTTGTTGTTTTATTGCAGGTCTGAAAGCTCGCTAAATTTAATAATCGAAATTAACAAACAGCAAACAGGCAACGAGCAAGGACAACAGTTTTTCTGTTTTATTTTATTATTATTATTTTTTTAAAGCAAAGACAAACAACAATTCTGTTACCTCAGGACTAATAGCACTTATTCTAGCTTTCATAATAACGCCTACGAAAATTCCTTGAACAACGATGCGATAAGGCGTCTTAATACTTCAGCTTGCGATTGAGGTTTCTTTCGCAGTGAGCTTCAGCTTGCGTACCCTGTTCAAAGAAGTCATTCCAAGCCGATAAAATTTCAAATGAAGCCAGTTTTAAAATGGACACTATTTCGACTTGCAGTCGTTTGTTGGTAAATCAAAAGGCACCTTGTTGGAGGTCAGCAGCCTGCAAAGGGATTCGACTCCGCGATACACTTACATTAGTTCCGTAAATTATTAGCAAATCCTGAGAAGATATGGACAACCGTCTGAATTTTCTGAATATCCATGGCACATATAAAGGCATATTTTCCTACCACAAGGCCGTAAAACAATAAAAAGACAGCGCAACCCTTCGGCGGATCATTCGCGAAGATTTCTGAGTGCTACAGCCACGCAAGGAATAAGCGCTTTTAACTTCCGGTGATTCCAAGTGCCAATCAGATCCTGTGACATTGTTCTAACAGCCAGTCAGCGTTGCGGCCAAAATCTGGCCGCAGCAAGCACAAGCTGAGAGACTTTGCATCAGGCGCAATTTTAGCGCGACTACGTAAGAGAGAAGGTGTGAGAACTGCTAAAAATTGGGCCTGATCTCGGGTTATGAAGATGCAAAGAACCGTTTTTATTTTTCAGATCTGTGCCTTGGCAGTAGCTTTTTAAAATAGTTTTCCCGGAAATGGTGTAGGAAGATGACGGTATTTTGAACAGGCAAAGTTTATTGACAGCGAGAGTGTATTCCCACGGCTGTCAAAAGCGTTTGATATTTTCATATGAAAAGGTCGAAACACTGATAAGTTACTTGATTGAGAAATTTGTTGAATATAATAACTTGAAGTGCAGTTGAAGACTTATTTGAAGTGCAGTTGAAGACTTATCTTTTTAAGAAAGCTTTTAATTTGTAATTTAATTTTCTTATTACTATTATTATTTCTTCCCATTTATTGTATATATATATTTATTTTCTTGTACATATTGTAAAGCGCTTTAGAATATTTTAATAGTTAAAGCGCTATATTAAATGTAATAAATTATTATAAATTATTATTATTATTCCAGATCAAAGTGATGTTACACGAGACGATTCGCAACGATGATTTTTGGCGCAAAACAGCGTTGCAGCATTGTTGCAACATTGGTTTGAATGACTGCAATATTGTTCCAACATTGTAACGAAGATATATAAAACTGTTCTAGTGAGGCCTTGAACTGCTGTTTAAAAAGTAAAAACTAAAATCCAAGCTTTCACCGATCAACGGCATGATCAGGGATGAGAAAATATTCCGCGCACTTTCTTTGCATATATATCGCGCGCGGAATATTTTCTCATCCCTGATGATGACGTTGATCGGCGAAAACTTGGATTTTGGTTTTTACTTTGTAAACAGCACTAGAACAGTTTCATATATTTTTAATTATGCTGCTGAAGGACAACATGAACAGATCATTGTAACGAAGAATTGCGCTAAACATCGTGGTTGCGAATCGTCCCGTGTAACATTACCTTTAGTCTTAATAAAACTTGCAACGATAATCGAAATGTTATGAAAGCAAAGAAGGCTATTCAGCAGAAAATGTGCCGTAAAAATTCATAAGATGATGGTAAACGACGCTTACAAGAATTATTTAAGCTTACACTACGATTTCTTGACAGGTTCGTAGTAAACGGCTCGGCCGAAAGTGATTTGGAACAGTAGCGCGGCTGACAATTGTTTTGAGCGGATAGCTCAAGCCGTTCGAACGGATGACAGTTTTCTTCCAACGGATAACTCGCGCCGTTTGAACGGATGACATTTTTTTCGAACGGATTGCCCGAGCCGTTCGAACGGATGATTCTTTTTCCAGCGGATAGTCTGAGCCATTCGAACCGATACCAAATGTTTGGGAAAGCCTTTCACAACTATTATGATCAGTAATTTTGTGTAACCACGAAATTCGCGGAATTTGTGTTCGCGGCGAGCAATGCATCAAAGTTGGCACGTGACAAAGCGAAAAGAGCAGGGAACAGCAGTTCAACAGGGGCACCAAACGACTGTTTTCTGTAAAATATCTGTTCGGAGGAGCAAAAATTGCCTGGAATTTTCTATAGCTTGAGGAAGGCTAAAAATTCATAGATGACCATTTCATTCATGTACAATTTTCGAAGCTTGTCTTGACTAACAAGAATCGGCAAAAAGCGATTTTACCTGGGCTGCCAAAGGCGATTATTATTCCTGAGAGAGGGGTGGTTGTACACATTCAGGCCACGAGATTCCTTGCCATTACATGATAATATAATATTAAGTTGTTGGAATAGTAATGGTTTAAGACAGAGTAATATTTTTGGGAATAAGTTATACAATTCTGACTTTCTAGATGACCTTCAAAATGCCACATTGTTACTTTATCTGAAACTTTGGGGCCGCGGGGTTGATCATTTACGGCTGGCTTTCAAATAATCGCAACTAACAAATCAAAGAAATTTGTCGGTAAAAAATCGGGCCGCTTGCCTGGAGGTGTTTTAGTTGCAGTCAAAAATTTTTTTTTAGCTCCACGTATCTCAGTTATCAAGAAAACTCCCGATTACATCTGGTGTAGGATACGTAATGCTCTCTTTCATATGGAGAAGGACGTAATGCTTTGTTGCTGCTACATCCCTCCGAAAGACTCATTGTACTTCGATCCTGACACATTCTCAAATCTAGAGAGCGACGTCGATAATTTCAAAAAAAAATTTTTTCTATTATTCTAGCCGGGGATTTTAATGCTAGAACTGGCGTAGAAAAAGACTTTCTAGTTGACGAGAAAAGCAAATCCCCTCCTGGCAGAGAAAAAATTTGGATCGTCTCGTTAACGATCATGGGAAATTTCTACTCGAAATGTGTAAATCACTGGATCTCAGGATTTTAAACGGAAGATGTACAGGTGACACCTTCGGTCAAATAACCTTTCATGGAAATCAAGGCATAGCACAGTTGATTATGTTCTCGTTGGTCATGATGTCCTACAACACTTTCAAAACTTGATAGTACGTCAACCATCTCCTTTCTCCGATCATAGTCAAATAATGTGTTGGATCAAGATCCGTACCACTGACGTTTTTAGAACAAATAATGAATGTACAGTGGACTTATTTGATCTACCTAAACAATTAAGGTGGGCTCCAGACTCAAGAGTAAAATTTTTAGCCGCCCTGCAAACCACAGAGGTAACAAGATTAAATATCAGACTTCGAAAATTCTGACCTTGAACAACTTGTTGATAACAATGAGGCAGTATCAAAATTTGTTGTAATACTAGAAACAGCAGCAAAACAATCTCTTCAATTAGGCTTTGTCCAGCAAGGAAAGAACAAACAGCGATCACAGCCCTGGTTTGATCAGGAATGCAGCAATTTTAGGAAACACGTAAACTCTGTTTCAAACAAAAAACATACCAACCCTTTTGACAAACAAACAAGACTTAACTACTTTTCTTTTTAAAAAGATGACAAGACTTTACTGAGGCGCAACAAACAAGAATACCAGAATTGTTAAATCCACGAACTTGTTACTACGTCCAATCCAACCAAATTTTGGTCAACTTTAAAATCCGTGTCTACTGAAACACATTCTGTGCGGCGAGACACGGCTATTCCTACCAACAGACAAATTGGACAGTCATTTTGAGAAATTGCATTCACACTAACCAGTAGGTAAAGCTCAAGAAAACGTTTTAAAAGACCTGAAAAACAAAGAATTGAATTTCATACTGCAAAACAATTTTGACCAGCCTTTTATAGTTAATGATACAAAAGCAGCCATAAAGTTGTTAAAATCTAAAAAAGCACCAGGTCCGGACAAAATACGAAGTGAGAGGATGAAATGTGGCATTCATATATTCGCCCCATCTTTAACAAAATTATTTCACTTCTTACTGAAAACTGGACACTGTCCAGATGCTTGGTCGTCGTCGGGCTTAATTAGCCCAATATTCAAATCAGGTGACACATCTCATCTTTCGAATTACAGTGGTATTTGCGTCACCAGTTGCCCAGGGAAATTATTCTATTCTCTATTGAATAAACGATTATGCAATTTTGTTGAGACAAATAACTTGATGCATTCATCGCAAATTGGTTTCATAAAAGGCTTTAGTATGTAGTTAATGCCAACAAAGGAAAATTATATTGCTGTTTTGTTGATTTTCAAAAAGTGTTTGATTCGGTATGGCATAATGGTATTTTATATAAACTGCTTGATAACAAAATAGGTGGCAAGTTTTATCATTTCATCGCCAACATGTATTCAAGATCAAGATGAGTTATAAAAATTGGAAATAAGAGGACCGACTACTTTAACTACAAGACGCTACGGAGCTAGCGTACACTTCGGCGTCGTGGTTGTGGAACTAATTAGTTGTAAATGCAGAGGAATAGTAAGAAATCAAATATGGTAAGAGTAAGGTGTGAAATTATGGGATTTGTCAGGATATTCTGAAAAGAGCAATATCTAAGAGGCCTGCTTGCCAAAAACTAGCATTTCAGGACAAATTGTCTCCGCGATATTAACCCAGTTATGTTCTGATGACTCCATACAAATCCTTCTAAAAAAACAATTCTCTA